CTCTCTCTCTCTCTCTCTCTCTCTGGCCACTGCAGCCTCGACCTGCTGGGCTCGCGATCCTTCCACCTCAGCCTTCCGAGTAGCCGAAATTACAGGCATGCGCTAACTTGCCCGGCTGATTTTTGATTTATTGTAGAGATGAGGTCTCGCCAACTTGCCCAGGTGGGTCTCGAACCTGCAGGCTCAGGTAATCCACTCACCTCAGCCTCCCAAGGTGTAGGATTACAAGCTGAGCCACCGAGCCCGGCTCAGTGGCCAATTTTCATAATTTTTTTTTTTTAAAGACACTGTCTCGCTTTGTTGCCTAGGCTTGAGTACAGTTGTGCGATCATAGCTCACCATAACATAGAACTCCTGGACTCTTCAGCCCCAGCCTCCCAAAGTGCTGGGATTACAGGCAAGAGCCCAAAGCCACTGCGCCTGGCCTCGCAAAGCTTTTTTGACACTTCAACATTAGATGCTTGATTGCTTTCTCCTCTTTGCAATGTTTCATTTGTGTGTAGGCAGAATAATGCCATCCCCAAAGATACGCTGAATCCTTGGAACTCGTGAATGTTACCTTACATGGTGAAAGGGACTTTGTGGATGTGATTAAGTATTAAGTTCAGGATCTAGAGATGGGAAGAAAGTCCTGGAGTATCTTGGTGGGCCTGATCTAATTGCATGGGTCCTTGAAAGCAGAGGTCAGAGAGAGACTATGGAAGAAAGGTCAGGGAGATTCTTTGAGGGTGGAGGAAGGGGGTCAGGAGCCAACAAGTGAGGGCAGCCTCGAGCCAGGAAAAGACCAGGAAATACTTTCTCCCCTGTAGCCTCCAAGAAGGAACTTGACTTTAGTTCCATGTGGAACTTCTACAGAACTATAAGCTAATACATTTGTGTCATTTTAAGACACTAAATTTGTGGCAACTTTTTATAGCAGCTATAAAAAATGAATACAGTCTTTTACCTTCTAGAACACCATGCTCGTGCGTTCTCACCTGGGTTAGTGGCTACACCCTAGCTTGAATTTCTGGCTCCTCATTGGCTGTCTCACTGTCTACCTGGACTCTATTCTCTGGACTCCAGAACCACATCCAATACCTCCTTGTCATCTCTCATAGATGCCTCATAGTTCAAAGTTAACTTCAATTTCTGCTCAAATGCAGCTTCAGTAAGGCTTTCTGTGATCGCCCTATTTGTCCTGTTATACATCAGTGTTCTCTATAATACCACCATCTCACTTTTTTTTTCAGTTGTCTCACTTTGTCACCCAGACAGAAGTGCAGTGACACCATCAAGGTTCACCACAGCCTTGACTTCCCAGGCTCAGGCAGTCCTTCCACCTCAGCCTCCTGAGTAGCTGGGACTACAGGTGCATACCACCACACTTGGCTGATTTTTGTATTTTTTTTGTAGAGACGAGGACTTGCTATGTCCTCCAGACTGATCTCAAACTCCTGGGCTCAAGCAATCCAGCCATCTCAACCTCCCAAAGTGCAGGATTACAGGTGCTAGCCACCAAGCCCGGCCCCCTCCCCCCCGCCTTTTTGAGTCAGAATCTTACTCTGCTGTCCAGGCTGGAGTGCAGTGGCGCATTCACGGCCACTGCAGCCTACCTGCTGGGTTCAGGTGATCCACCCCAGCCTTCCAAGTAGCTGGAACTACAGGCATGTACCACCACCCCGGCTGATTTTTTGTAGAGATGAGGTCTTGCCGTCTTGCTCAGGCTGGTCTCGGGCAATCCTCTTGCCTCCACTTCTCAAAGTGCTGGAATTACAGGCATGAGCCACAGTGCCCAGCCTGTCCAGCCCTTTTTATTATTTGTCTCCCCCACCAGATATTAGCTCCACAAGTGCTTTGTGTTTCATTTTGTCTGTTATTCACATCTTCACCTAGAATGGTGCTTGGCATGTAGCAGGTGCCCAATAGATATTGGATGAAGGGACACTGATCGAGGTTTAGACAAAGTATGTTTTTTTGGTGCTAGGGAATAACTAGAACTGCCTGGGAGCACATTAGGAAACTCCAAAGTGGTCACGTTTGAGCTGGGGTTTGAAGGATAATGTTGCAGTGACTAATATACAATGAGATAGCACTTCACATCCATTAGGAAGGCCATAACAAAAAAGATGGATGGCAACCAGATTTGGTAAGGATGTGGGAAATTGGAAGCCTAGTCCATTGCTGGTTTCATGGAAATTGGTGCTGCAGTTGCTTTTGAAAACAGTCTGGCAGTTTCTCAAAAAGTTAAACAGTTGCCATATCCCCCAGCAATTCTTCTATAT